GTATTTACATTTGTTGCATTTTCAACGGTCCAAAAGTGAAGTGAACGTTTTGATAATGCTGGAATTACTTGGAATGCATTTTTTTAATGTATATACATATTAAGGTGGGTACAAAAAATTTTTTTGATTATTTTATGGCAAAGTTTTGTTTTCTAATGAATTTTATAACTCAATTAAAGAAAAAATTAATAAATCAGAAATCTTATAGTTTTGTAGCAAATTTACTGCTCTACTGTCCTAAAGGGTCATAAGAACCTATTTTTTAGAGTACTCACTCTAACACCATGAATTGACCACCGTAATGTTAATTTAAAATAATAATAAAAATAAACTGGTGGCAGCTCTTTCCATTCGAATGTTGATATGTCGCTAATATGCTAAACAAAAAGTAAGTATGTATATGATATATGAGTATAGGAGTATAGGTACATATATGAGGAGAAAGGCCTTTAATAACCTTTACAAAGATATAAATATAACAAAAAATCAGCCAGTATTTTTTGTAATATAATATTTAAATTGTTTCTATTTTGATTTTTGACTCAATCTGTCGAAAAAATTTTGTTCGAGCCAAGTGTTTTATCATAAATTTGAGATTCAAATGCTGTTGCATACATCTTTGCAACAAGCTATAAATATGATATACTTGTATGTGATTGTATATTTTTTCTGGAACTACGCTTCTTTTCTCCGGAATCTAATGTATATATCTCTATATAGACTGGTATGGCGCCAAGTTCATGTTAAGGAATTTTAAAATTTCATCATGTATTTGCAATGTTCAGCTGTACACGTACTTAACCCGTCCTTATTTATCAACCATTGACATTCATATATGTAGCTATTGTCATTAAGATCATCAAAACATATTGATTGATTACAATATATGTATTTACCCTCCCGCATATATTTGTATAAAATCATGTACACATAAAATCAGTAATGAGTTTTATTGATTATCATCAAACCAAAAGATTCTCTCAAAGAGATTATATGTTTGTTTAATCCCATAATTGTGCATATGATATTTTATAATACATAAGCTACATATATACATATGTACAATAAATATCTGTGGGGGAAACTTTTTTTCGGTTTAATTTTTGTTATTGTAAAACACTTCATTTACTTACCTTGTATGGTGAGTATGCTGCTCCATGTGCTGGCTTTGTGTTTTTGTTGTTTCCCTTCGAAAAAAAATTAAACAAAAATTAAAAAAAAAAAACAACAGCAACAAAAACTGTGAACTTGCATGAAGGCAAAAAGTTAAAATTGTGGTTTGAAAGCAATCAAATTGATTTTTAATAAGTTTTGCCGCGCTAATGGAGTTATTAATAAGGTTATTGGTTGCACAGTTGATTGGTTTTGTTTCATTTGTCTGATTATCTGAATATTTGCCTTGCATATTTTTATTTTATAAGTTCAGTGTGTTTTCAACTCTGACTTTGAATTCGAGTTAAGTAAAAAAAGTTAATTATGATCTTCAAAGTTGCATGAAGTTAAATTTGAGCCCTGAGCCTTTATTTTAGCGAATAAGACCAATTTTTAGAATTGAAATAAATTTCGGTGTTCCAACAAACCTAATTTCGATAAACAAAAATGTATTGTAAACGAGTTCCTGACTAAAAATGCATGAGCAAAGGTTGCAAAACCTCATATGAGCCAGAATTTTTAAAAAATCTTTCACATTGTAATTTTAAGGTTAGTGTTGAAGTTTCCTACATCTATACGGGTATGTTTTTTATTCCCCTTAAGCGCACCAATAACTTTTGGTACAAAATTCGATAAGCAAAAACCTCAAGGTTAATTAAAAATTATGAAAAATTTTCGTATCAAACCCTCACGCTAAGCAGCTGTCCTTAGCGTTAGCAAAAATAAATACACAAGTCATGTTGGAGACATATTTTCATATGTAAATATCTTTTCCTGTTTATTGTTATTGTAATATTAGTAAACAAAATAGGTGAAAACTGTGAAATGCTGCGTCATATAATGAACGCAATTATGCATGCTCATAACCGCACATTATTTGCACACACACAGATGTGAAGTATGTGCATACATTATGCATTAGCGATTACATGCAGTTTGTCGCTTAAGTCTTTTGTAGTTCGGCAATTGCGGAAGTGACAGAATTTAGTGTTGTTGTATGAGCGCTTTGGATACTTATTGAGTTAGCACCAGTGAATTAGCTAAATTTTTTAAAACTAATGCTTTTTGCAAATTATTTTTGCTTTTTGTTGCTTAATAATGATAGTTCCACTTTTAAGTGAATGCTCGGAGTTCGACCCATTTTGGATCAGAGTCATATATAAGTATGAGGAGCACAATTTTTTGTGAAGTAAAAAAAATCTAATGTAGTTCCAAGTAGCTTTGTACGGGCGTTCAGTGTGGATTCCATGGATACAACCGCTTCCACATGCGGTCAACACAAAACTATGTGAATGTTCATCACCATAATAAATTTCTCTTATGATAATAGCGCCATGATACAATTGTTTTTAAAAATTACTATTAACAATGTGAACAGAGTTGAGATAGCTCAAATTTAGGTACAAAATTTTTAGAGAACGACGAAAAACATTTAGCTGCTTAAAATCTAATTTTACCGATTTCTTTGCTATTATTCTTTACATATCTATATACAAAGAAGTATTTACTTTGTTCCTTTGGAGGTACTGACTTATTGCTTAAGAAGCGATTCTAAACGAAATTCTACTGACACAATTTATAAAGACACACTATATAAGCCATTATGAATTTGCTTAAACATATATGCTATTTAAAATAATTGTACAAAAATTGGCCATGTAAAGTATTTATTATTACCTTGGTCAATTTAAAGCAATCATATAGTTCATAGTTTTACATATGTGGTATAATACAACACCTATTTCAGGGTGAATATTTACATTTCCGTCCTTAAATCAAAACACCTCGTGTTAGCAAATCTAGCTACTTGCTTGTGCGCATGTGAGTCTGCACCGCTGCGTTTAAATACGGAAGTTTTCTCACAAAGTCCCTCATTTTGATGCAGTTGCTGTTATCGCCAATTGTAATTATGTAGAATATTACAATAGAAGAAATATGCATTCAAAATTGTAGGTTGCTCTATTAAAAAGCATTTGTAAACATATTTAAATATTTACGAGTGGAATGAAAAACGAAACTTGTTCACCAATGCTAACTGAAATAAAAGTAGTTCATACTTTCATTTTTGCATTATGTATATGTTGCTACTCAAAGTATGAGTTAAATTCGGCAAAACGTGATTTATTGATCAATGATTTTTAATTAGATACTTAGTGTATATACATATTCATATTAAAATTGCGTTTTGAGTGTGAAAAAATTGCAATTATGAAATTCGAAAAAAAGTTATATTAATTTGAAGGCAATTCATAGAGGCGTAAAAAGTGGAAATTAGCTTTAATAAGTGGTAATCAGTGATAACTATGAATGCGGTTAACATATAGTTTTAGATTCAGGGCGTCCCATTTGTATTTTCAACTATTATAATATCTACATAATATAAAACAGTTTATGTACTTAGTCTCGCCATAAGTTCTGTTACAAATTCAGCCTGTTATACTTGTATATATGAAACTATAATATATTTTTTAATAAAGTTACTTTTATTAAATAAAAGATGTACACAATTTTTTTCGAAATTTTTTCTTACAAACTCTCAAAAGATTCGAACATTGATCAATAGCAAGCACGCACATTTTTTAATGATATCGACTAGGCTGCCCGAGCCAAAGATTCTTTGAGACTCTCCAAATTTCTGTGGTTTTCTGATCTGCAGCTATGAACCAGGAATATTGCTTTTAAGTAGTAAGGTGGTTTTTGACTTGTGTGCTATCTTTATATTGATTTGGTCTTTATATACCTATTTCCTATATTTTCTTGACTGTATTTACTAGAAGTCCTTGATGTGATTTTTATATTCCTGTTACGTGTTTAGTTTTGTGTTCTATCATGACTTAGAAGCTTGAATTCAATCTGATTGCAATTTGTTGTTGTTATGGGATTCGGTGTGGTAGTTATTTTGTTAATTGCTTTGTATACCGATTACTAGATAAGAAATCATCGATTTAATTTAGGATTTAGGTTAACTTTGGCTGCAACGAACCCATCATACCCTTTACATGAGCATTTCTTAAAGCATAATCGTAAAAGAGTATAAAAAAATCTTTATCTTGGGTAGTATTGGCTATTGTCAAGGTAAAGACACTTTCTAAAATGGTACAATACTTCACTTGTGTAAAAAGGCAATCCTCTTTAAAAAAACCAATAAAATTATTAATACCTATTTATTTAAATAACTTGGTTCAATACTTCTACAGAATCAGGAATCCTTGGCATGTCTTTTCAATATGAGTGTTCTTATCGGTAGCTCGCACTTAAATTAAAAGGTAAAATGTAAGCTTTACAAATCGTTCTTTTTAATTGACGACTTTCACACGCTTCCTTAAAATCTTTAAAATCGTGTTTAAATGTCACATATATAATGATTTTTTCATTTCGTGACTAACTCGCATATTAAAAAGATTCTGTTTGCATTAGCGACAAGCCGATAATGATTCACTGTCGGCGTCGGCATCGGCAGTTACGCAAACGCGTATCGTTAAATGACCCTTGGTGCAAGTGAAAGTCGTTTTTAACGAGAATACACGTAAATTAAGGAAAAGAATTCTCGCACACACATAGAATTTCATGGCACATCACAATCGAGCACACGTTTATCATGTTTGTGTGGGGAAACAGTACGCAGCTAACTGACAAACAAGCCAAACCACTCAAAACATGGAAAACCACTCAAAATCAAACGGTTGATCATGTACGCCTGCAAGCCCCGTAGCTGTAAACATCGGAAAACTCACTCATGTGTTCGCATACTCATTAAGCGAGCGTGCGCTCTCTCACGAGTTGAGCCTCTTTGCTTAAGTTTATGCTCCAATTTGAGAGTAAAATGTTAGCAAATCTTATTGTTTCGTGTTTAATATAAAACCAACTAAGCATATCCACTGGAATTCATTAAGTGTCTTACCACAAGTCTCTTAGTACCTCCAAAAGCACACAGCCAACCGACAATCAACTAACTACCCCAGTGTACGACGGACAGATTGTTTGAACGCCTGACCAAACCGCACGTCTGCCCCAGTGAACACGTACAAATTTTGAAATTGTACAAAGTACGAATCGAAGGAGTGCAACGCCAATTGTGATTGCTACAGATAAAGGCACCGCGCGGTTAACTTCAAAAAATATATATTATATCTATATATTTTTACCACGAAACCAAATACGTAAACAAAAAGATTATATGTTATAATTTTTGTTTTAAACCAAAAGTGCAACTTGGCTGTTTACATACATACATATATGTACGAACAATTGTGCTTTTGCAGCGTATCCAAACACGAGAAAATAGTAAATATCCAAAGTAAAGAGCAACGAAATTTTTGGTGTTAAAAAAAGTGTGTATAATTTGCATAAAAAAGTGCAGAAAAGTGTTTGATGCGTTTTTGTTGTAGCTGTTGGATTTGAGAAATAGTTTACACAGCTATTATTGAGATTTGTGCATTTCTTGTGTACAATTTCGAAATTACCTACTTGTAATCCCAGTGGATACGCAGCAAATTTGTACCAGCAAAATGAAATTCGTAAGTATCAATGAGGAAGTAATGAAAACATATAGTTTATACATACATATATTATATTAGTTATGAGACATAAATTAAACTGATCCAGATGTGAAAAGCAAAGCGTGTCTACATGATAGTTATAAGTTAAGGCATTTTTTATTATTGAAAATTTTTGTCGAAAAGAACATTCTCATTTCATTCATTACAACAGTTAACTTTTAAAGCAGCTAAGCTAATAATACCATTCTAATGTTAAGGATTGTACTGAGTCATAATTTAGCGATGTTTTTATTAATACATTTTTCTTTTAATTTTTTGTTAATTTATACAATTATCCGCTAAGAGGAATCCATTACTTTTCAAAGGAGATAGGAGGAGATTCCTTGTGGTTTCAATATGAAAAGCGACAAAAATTTAATTTTAAGTTTTAAAAATCATTTTCTTTTTCATATTTCCTCTCGCTTATTTGTATATTAAACTTGGAAATATGTTAGATAAACCAAAAGTAATGATACGCAAGAAAAATATGCACATATATCAAAAAGCCCGAGTGCAGGTCAATATCAAAGCAAGTTGGGTGTGCAAATATAAGCGCAAAACATTGTTAATTTGCTCTTGCTTTCCATTGGTGTTGCACTTTTCGGGTCAATGCAGTTAAGCGCAACAAAAACATTTGATATGCAACTGACGTGTGTTGAGCTGACGTGCAATGGATTTGTGTGCAACTTTGAGCGACATGTGCGAGAAGTGGTGAAATAGAACAATATAATTATAATAAAACTTTGTAAACCAACCCAAACCCAAATTTTGTCATGTCCAACATGTGTTGCTGTAGTTTTTTCCACTTGCTCAATTGAAATATGAATACATCAGTCGTTTTTTTTTTTACATTGGGCGTGGGCGTCTAGCGAGTGTGTTACATAATCGACGATCAATGAGTCTTTCGGAATCGCTTCAAATTCAATTTGTGTTGCTATTTCGAATTTAAGTTTACAGTCTCAGCACTTGTAGCAAAATTAATAAATGAGTACTCACAAGAAATTATAATTTCCGTTTTTTATTTTAAAACGGTGTACAAGAAAGAAAAATGAAACCAAAATTAATAAACAATCTCTTATCCATTCAATTAATTATTCTCCACACTGGAATATTATTCATAAAGTAATGGCTTAGTCACAACTTTCTCACGAAAATATCAAAAACGATCTAAACTATTATCATTTAATATTCAAATATTTATGCAAATGCGGCTTTGATTTCACTGCCACAAAAAGATATGGTAAGACAATAAGCAAAATGCGCGGTGGTTTTTATTTTTTATTTTTTTATTTAAATTTTATTTATTTGCTTTTATTAAAATAAAACTTATGGCTCTCTTCTGTAAATTTTTCTACTACTATAGAATACATTAAAAAGTGTATTGTAATTAATAAATCTTTCAAAAATGTCACCAGCATTCATATGCACTGACATCAAAATAAAAATAAAAGCGTGTGTGACCAACGATTGGCTACTTAAGTAGGCTACCTGAGAAAATCTATGCACTGATAAAAGGTGAACCTGCTCACTGCCAGTGGCAAGTAATGCACAGCGTGCGCGCGTATTTATAATATTTAAACTAATAACAGCTTAAAGTTTTCCTCGATAGTTGAAGCGAGAGATGAAAATCAGATAAAAATTAGTGAAATGATTGTATAATTGCTCGAGAAAGACGCGTTGGTAAATAATTGCCTTTTTTGTATGGGCACATCAACTAACAAGTAAGAAAGGGCTAAGTTCGGTCGTAACCGATCATTTTATTGTCTTGCAACTTGCAAGGATCAAAAATGGCAAAACAAATAAATGCAATCAGCTCAAAAGATGTGGAAAATAAAAAATGTTTCGAAAGGATTCAATAGTCATTATTCGACGAAATTCTGGTTCGCACCGAGGTCTAGACCATTTCCATTCACATTCTGCGGTAAACCACAAAATATTCAAGGAAACTGGTCAATTTAGTTCTATTGAAATATCACACGTTTTGATTAACCTGTATGATTTAAAATCACATTGCTCAAGTATACTTGAGAACATATTTTTTAGCAATGATATAAATTTATAACTCACACACTGAGCGACTTATTCGTCATAAGGTTTGTTGGAAAAACGAAAATCAATATATGTATGTATGTAGATTATGTTAGTTGGGGGTATTATCGACCCTATTTTATCTATTTTTGCCAATACCATACACCACTAACATGCCACATACTAATAAAGTGCTCCCTGGGTTTCAATAAGGTACCTCACATATTACCATCAATTTATATGGAGTAAAGTCAGTAGTTATTTTTAACATTCAGATATACCAGGAAAGGACACTCCCCGAATTTTAATTATATATTTCCCATTTCCCATATATTTTTTCGGTAAAAGTCAACTATAGGCACTGTGGGCTTGAACAGTTTTAGTTCGATATGGAAAATGTTTGGTCATAGGGTCATAATGTCTACTTTAAGCGCACTATTCGTGAAAAGTTTTATCCCAAGATATTTTGTTGCTTGAATTACAGAATGGAAAGTGAAAGAATCAGATGAAATTTGAATTTGTGTTTTATGGGAAGTAGGCGTGGTTTTAGTCCGATTTCGCCTATTTACCCACTGAAATATAGGAATGTCAAAATAATATTACATATAAAATTTCGTCAATATCGGAAAATCAAGTCCTGAGATATGGGGTTTAAACTAAATGTGAGCGGTGCCACGCCTATCGTCTTATTTTGACCCCGGCTCCAATAAAGCTCTCTCTTACCATTTCGGATGTAAAATTTAATGTCTCTGGCGCACTTATTTATTGATCTATCGCGATTTAAACAATTTTTAACAGTACCATTATAAGGGGAGTGGGCGGGGTTATCATCCGATTTCATCCATTTTTACAGCGTCGGTAGTGGGACTTAAGGGATTTTCACTGAGCAAATTTGGTTATTGAGTTAGAGGGCGGGGCCAAGTCCATATTTTTAAAAAAAATTTCTCACAGGTGACCATTGCTACTGCGATGTTCAGTTCTATATCTTAATTAGGTGCACGTGTACAAAGTTTCATTACGATATCTCAATTTTTACTCAAGTTACAGCTTGCACGAACAGACGGACGCAAGGATGGACAGACAGACATCCGGATTTCAACTCGCCTCGTCATCTTGATCATTTATATATGCATTACCCTATATCTATTTCGTCTTGAAAGCTAAAAAAGACGATCACAAAAATTCATAAACCCGTTTATTTGAGACCAAATATAAATATCGATATGAGTATCGTATGAAATTTATTAATCTACCTGCACTTGCTAGTGGTAGAGAAATGATAGGCATAACGTTCACAGTAAATTATCAATTCTTTTAAATAGTTCCTTTTGTAGCTTGTTCTTATTAACAGAGGTAAACTGTAATATCTCAGTTAGTTCAATATAAAACCAATTTTTAATTTAATGGACATTTCCTCTGCATATTCTGTGATATTGGTTTATTTTGTTGTTTATTAAATATAATATAATTAAACTAGGCTATGTCAGTTCGTACTTATTTTATTTTATTTTACCATACTTCTCACAAAATGATAAAAACTGTAATTTTTGCAATGGAACAAAAAATCATGTAATGTAAAAAAAGATATTGTACAATATTTTTAGTGGCTTCAAATTATCAAAAAAACATCATAATATCTTTACTTTATTATTTATTGCAAAATATTTTTTTTATAAATAGAAAGAAGTTATACAGATTTAGGCCCATTTCGCTTATTTGCCGTTTTAAAAATTCTTTTGAAGTTTTTTAAAAATTTAAACTGCCATGACCTGAGAAAAATTCGGCTTACCTTAAATTGTAACTTATAAAAATGCTCGAATATTAATTAAAATTAAATTCAGTCCAACATTAGTCACTTCGACAATTGATTTTCGAAATTCAAAAAATTGTATGTGTGTTTATTTGAGTTGTCACTGTAATTTTATTTTCAGGAAGTTGAGCTTCCTTATTCGACTTTTTTTAATCGTTTGCAATTTTATGCGTTCTTAAAACATGTTTTTGTTATTGCAAATTCCCACAGCCGCCAACCGGTTATGTGTGAACGCGTGCGCTGGAGACACTTGTGAATGAAATTAAAAGCGGCAAGCTGTTGAAGTGCGTTCATTAATACACGAAATCGAAAAACCAACAACGTACAAACATACGCACACTCACACCTACCTACGCTTACCTTAGGACACACAAGCGCACAGGCGTTCCTACAAATCTCGAATTTGCAGTAATCGGATTTCGAGTGCACTGAGCCAGTGCAAAAACCTGCAAAATTTTCCTTACACATTTGGCCATACAGTTACATAAATGTACATACTTATGTATACACATACAAATCAATGTCGTTGCGTGCGGTCCGTTCGACACTGGTTGGTCGCCAAACTGTCTAAGGCTTTTGTAGGCCTGTCGCCTGCGTTGATTTACTTGTGTTCCTGTGTTTGTGTTCGCAGTTATTTTAACGGTTTCTGTTGCAAATTCTAATTCGCTTTGCTTCATTTGCAGCAGCTTAACTGATTCATTCACGCAATCGACGCCGCTGATAGGCAACTAGTAGTCACACTTGTCGTTCCACGCTGCGAGGGCAACAACAGCATTGCCAGCGCCGACAACGTGCCGCGTTGCCACTTGAATTGTAATAAAATAAAGCTTGTCAGGCAGGCATAGGCGCATAGACAGCCAGGCAGCAGCAGCAGTTTGTTTGTGCTTGGAACGCAGTATTCGAAAGCTGAAAATGCTCAATTGCATGCGTTTTGGGTCCAATGTTGTTGGGCTGGTTGTCGTAAGCCATACGCGTGCCAATTCAACTCGTTTGCTACTGCCGTGGCGTTGCTGTCTGTCCACCGGCTGCTTTCAATGCGCAGCATTTTGCGTTTTGTGCTCAGCAGCGAGTGATGGCCTTCAACATGAACTTGAAATTAACGGCTGTGCGTTGTTGGCTCAGTTGTAGTTTTACGAGCTGT